TATCTAAAGTTAGAATATACCTTCCTGTTGTCTTTACGTTTTGCTTCTATATACCGTTTAGAAGCACTTCCCTTAGGTCTTCTTTTTAGGTCCACTGTATTTATGGCAGAGCCATGCTTCAAGATAAAAATATTTTGGACACCTACTCAATTTTATCCTTTGCCGAAGTAACAAGCTGTTGGAGCAGCTTAGGATACTTGTGCACTGTATAACTAAGAAAACTGCTTGGAGAGATTTGTTAAGCTCGAAGAATTTTGAACCTAGAGGTATGCCGTACCCGGATCGATTATTCGAAACGGATAAATATTGCGGGTGGGAAACCGCTTATTTAGTGAGTAAGAAGACAAGTTGAAGACATCCGATTACGTTAAGGCATCTTGAATGTGTGAACATTTTGGCAAAAATTAGGAGTCTGGGGCCATTGCCAGCATAAAGTGCACAAGAAAACACGGCTCCCATTGACCCTTAAGGCCCCGCCTAGCATCGGACAATGTGCAGTTAATATGATAGAATTCTACACAGAATTGTTACGGGTGACGAGACACGGTGTCTACATTGATACGAAACACAGAAAAAAAATAAATAGCTTTAGGAGATATGCCTACGCCTCAAGTTAAATGAAATCTACATTCCTATAGAACCAGGACTTTATAGACTAAGGAACGTCTGAAGAGCAAGATGATCAACAAGGATCTGTATAGCTGCCCTGCAAGCACTTTAGTGGGAGACACTATATTTAATATTTTACACTCACTGTAATGTACAGACCCCGCGCGTACGGCTCCCTTGTTCCAAATGATGGGAAGTGATATTTGTAACCATACATTTGACTTCGTAGAGAGTCTTAAAGCTTGGGTAGCCCAGCTTTTCAACATCGGTACTGAAAACCTCTAGCAAGATGGGATGACAAGTTAGTTTGGAGATAGAATAAGGTAGCGAAAATAGATGGCTAATACATAGGAAACTAATTTACGCACAGAGCTAGGAAGAAATGCAAATCGACAGAAGTGATTTTCAATAACAAGTTAGAATTGCAGTGTTGCTGCTTTTTGGCTCATGAGGTACCGCGCTTCACATGGTTTGTAAGCTTGAACTTCTCGAGTAACTGAATCTTAGAGGCATGAAACACATGTCTTGGGTTCCTGCGATGGGCTCTTCGTAAGCGTCTACGGCGCAGCACAACCAGTACAGATCTGGTCGATTCTAACTTTCACAAGATGCACGTGATAGCTCGTAAACACTGGACCTCGGAGCAACCGTTTTTGAAGGCTGATAAAGGTCAATCCTATCACTTAAGTTAATGGTATTTTATGAATCTCTGTTGTCTGCGTCTCGTTTACAATGACGACAGGCTTGTACCACAAGCATTTGAATACATTTGGTGCACGGAAGTAAATATACTTATATATTAAGCCATAAATTATGAAACTTTGTAAATTTCACGTTTTTGTAAAAATCAAAAACTAATTGTTTTTAGCCGAAGCACTCACTGTCAATAGATCTTACAGTTTCGGGCGCGGTTTAATTATTTCGCTGCTATAGAATGCTGAAGCATGGGGCCTGATTAGTTGAAAAAGGTTGTATTCTTACATCTTTTTTAAGACTTGTAGCTAACGGTGCCTAGGAAAGACAATCCTATGACGACTTTCTCAGCTTGTCACACAATCTAGCACGTATGACGCGAGTCCCTGCTTGATAAGATCATGCTTAACTGCGAGCTTGCATATCCTTGATTATGTTCTCCAGCATTATAAACATACGAAGACTATTTTTGACAGTTTGATACTGCCTAAACCGATCTCTGGTGAAAACGAGACCCCTAATTTTTGCCGTGGTAATTATGAAGCTACCTGTGCAAATTGAACGAATAAATTGGCACCAAATATGGTTGCAAATAGTTCCAATAAAAAAAAAACGTATTTGTCTGCTTGTCTTGCTGTCTGTCCTAAGTATTCACACAAACAGGAACAATGTGAGACCAAAGATTCACAACCAAAATTCAGTCTATTTTCAAATTATAAATTCAATAAAAACCTAAGTATAATAAAAAGTACGCAGGTTTTTAATGGACCTGCGATTTCGAGATAAACCTAGTCTTGCAGTTTATGATACTCAATCTTTGTCCTCTACGCTAACAATAATTTTGAGAATAAAAGCAGATATAACAGTTTTGATTGTTGGTAATAATATTATTGCTGAGCACGCAAAAAAATAATGGGCATTCTCAAACTTTTCTTCGGCAACCCGATTACAGAAGATGGTATAGGTTCAAGCAGTTCTGTCAGAAGGCAACTTCACTCCATATATAGTATTACCCTACTTTTGCGTCGAAAGTGTCAGTGGTCTTTTTATGTTAAAAAAAAAAGAGACTCTTCAAAACTAATCGCCTGCGGAATAGGAGAGAACCACGTGTTTGGCAAATAGCGTCAACTGAACAATGTGGTGAAAAAATGGGTAGTTGTAATATCCGTCACTATGCCAGCATACGTACTAAATGACACTAGCATCCCATCGATAGGATTATCGTGATATGGGGTATAATTGTTATATCAAGGCTAACTGTTTCGATTTCTATAATAAGAAATTGTAAAATGTCCTACACCACTTTGGGACATGGTAATATAGTACGGTGTTTAACTGAAAAAGAAAATTTTTTATATTTAATATGTGAAAACTTTGTTATAGAAAAGCTTCTTATTACTGCCAGGTAGAGTTCTACCGTTAGGTTAAAAACACTCGAGCAATCCAAGGGATGCAATCAAAGGAATGCATTTTACGTTGCGACAAGGTTTGTCTCAAGTCCATTTTTCAACTCTATAGACAAGCGGGCATCATACGCAGTGTGTAAATTGTATTACATTTTTCAATATTTGTACAAATAATTAGAAAAGCTGTGTGATTGTTACAACATATGAGATAGCTTAGACACAGAACGAAAATCACCTTCTTACGAAACGAATTAAGAATATATTTAAACATTCAGGACACAAAAAACAGAGTCCCAATTTATCCTCGTGACGTATGCTTATTTTTACAACTGCTATTAAGATAGCTATAGCAGAACATTGATTGTATATTATGTTTTATATGAGTTTACCTTTTAATATAATAGCATTTATAAATTACAGTGAAGAAAGTGCCGACAACACAATGCGGTTTAAATGTCTTATTTCCAACTACGATTCATAATTTTATTTTCCAAGCACAATACTTCAGTTACTTTTTTTTATTTGTTTTTAGTTAGTTTCGATCAAACAATACCATCCAATATACATAATTATATTTAGAAGCATTGTAAGGAAGAGGAATCACGTTTGTCACATTAGTTAATAGTCTCAAAATGAAACTCCTTCCTAATTATTTAGAATTTTCCTATAAAATGTGTGTACTAGGTTTTTGAGGTAGTTTACCCAGGAATTTGACCAGGATGCAGCTTTAATAAAATTATATTAATTCTGCGCTTAATTGGCACCAACAGGTTTTATCAGTAATAAGTGCTACTCAGAATTCGTTTTAAAACTTTTTTTGATCTCTACAGCGACTAGCAGTCGTGTTACGGAAAGTTAGGGTCATAAGCTGACCTTGCTGGAAGGTCTAACAATAAACAACGCGCTTCTTTTTTACAGACGATATGATGGACCAGCAATTTTTAAGGTGTATGGCTATAAAAAAAAAAGCTTAATATATAGCTAATAAGCATTCTAGCAAGACAATATGGCAATATTGGATGCGGTGACAAGACCCTTCTAAGACATAAGTAGTATTAACTTTGAAAGTTGATCGAAACCATGCATTACGCCAATAAATTTCGCTTTTTCGTTGTAACAATCTTGTTTTTGAAGCTTTTCCTTTCATGATGGTCTAAATGAAAGGTCATCCCTTATCATTTCGCTGTCATTCACGGAGTCTTCAACAAGTAATACAATCGTTTAATCAACGAATAGAGAGGGTTATGAAAATTACATTACTTCGGATATGTGAAAAGACTAAGCGACCTATAGTTCCTAAGCAACTCCATCTAAGAAATGCTCCGTTAATGAAGAAATTTTACCTACCTGCACTTGCTGCACGTCCGACGTAAAACCCCACCTGTAATCTATAGGTATACAGCTTTTTCAGCGACATACTAAGGTCAATTATACAGAATGTTCTTCGTAAGTTGACAAATACACCTGCAGCTGCCTTTTTCTTGTCTAAGCGAATTTTGATTAACCCAATAAAACCGCTCATGGAGATTACGGTCGACACACCCAAACTGAAATACCGTTTTCTCATTGTGAGGGCCTGTCAAAATCGCCTACTTGAAAACGAATTCACTTTTTTCACAACATCGTAGAACCAGCATTCATATATTTCAACATATTATCCAAGTTTTGTGTGTATGTGCGCTTTGGTTTCGTGAATCCTTTTCGATTTCTAACGATTGCGTCAACTATGATTAATAGGATAATCTACATATTGCTGATAGAATAACACATCAAGTACATGCTATCTGTAAAGAAACAATTCAATTATAAATCCGTGATAGAAATTACGAAGCAATGCAGCATGTCTATAGTGTGGCTCCATGAGAGTTTATAGTAATCGGAATATTGTATATTTGCATAAGTAAACTAAACGCGCATACATAAAACTGCCACAGCAGAAATACCTCAGTAAGTCAGCCATACGATATATATGAAGAGTGGAACATAGTACAAAAAATAGCTAGAAAATTGCCGAAAAGAATCATAACTCGCATAACACTCTGCCGTCGGATATAGATGTTATCATAAAAATGAATCTATATATGTTTGAACTTGTTATTTTAACGTCCAAATTTCGTACGACGATATGCTCTGTATATTTAAATATTTTCTCTGTTTATTTAAATTCATTCTACTTGTTTGTTAAATTACTCTTTTATTCAGATAGCTAGCCCTTAGGTACTAAAGTACGATGTACAAAACCCATCTACTACGTCCTCGAATCACTAGAAATATGTTTGTCAATACACATCTATTAAGTTCCTACTTTTCTGGACATGACTGAAACATGTTCTTAATGAAAACAACTGTACTCTACTAGTTGATTAGTCGCCTTCATTGTTTACGACCTCTTTGCACCTATTCACCAAACATTTGTCCGTTTACTAAAATTTGGCGGATTCTGTTTTGAAACGTGTTTTTACGATTTTTGCGTAGTACGGCCCAACACTGTCAAGAAGAAGAATACCCAAGCCTTGTTGGTTAAGTTTTTCAATTGATGAATAAGCTCGTTTACCCGATGTGACTTGTCTGCGTAGAGATGTTAATCGATCGCATTACCTTCTTTAAGTATTACATTTTCTGGCATATTATATTTCATATAATTCCACCACGCACACGACATGATTTTTTTTTCAGAAAGGGGCCCGTTGAGGCCTAACTGAGAATCGCCACTGGGAACTAATAACGCCTTTTTTTGAATTGCGATAATTTTGTACAAAAATTTCCCGTTGTGGGCGCGCATTCCTCGGTTCTGGGCAAGTTGTAAAGGCAGTGAAAAGCCGATTTGTTTTTGATAGAAGCATAGGGAACGCAGACACCGATTTTTTTTAAGGTTTGAATAAATGACTGAAGACCATAAAAAGCGGCGTAGTAGTAACAGTCCCTTTTTGAGCCCAATCGTTGACTCGGTTCATAGCTATAATCCTCTAAAAACATCTTTAAACAACTTTCGTCGAAGTTTTCTATTGCAGGAAACATAAATCCTTTGAGACTCACCACGACACACAATTTGAGACAGAAGAAACGATAACAGATTTGTCATATTATGCCTTTGAATTGTGGGTTGCACGAGCTGCGCGGCGAAAATGGGGAAAAAAGGAAGGGAGTTCAAAGAGCCAAAAGGAGCTTTTTTTTCTATTTGACACTTAATTAATCAAAAGAAGTAATTATTTTTCTTTCATCACACATGTTTTGTGATAGCGTTTCCTGTTATATACACTTGTTGTATGGTCTATATAACCTCACTTAATGCGTTGTCTTTTCCTTAAATACTAAAAAAAAGGGCTGCTGCATAATTTGGCCTTACTGTGCTGTAGCTTACTCGTTATTCTTGTAACTAGTTTATGCATAGAACCACGCGCCAAACTGTGTGCGATGGCTTAGCTGTTATGGTTTGCTTTGGTCAGTAAAACTTTACGTAGTAATAGAGAGAACATTAAGTAAAAGAACGTTGAAAAAATAAGAAATAGATATTTGAGTATGAATTGTATGAAAGGAAAGCGTGGTTAGTCACCAGAGTATATACTAAGAAATAGTAAATGCGCCTGTACCACCAATATGCTGAACTAGTAAAATATGTTGGTTCATAGTCCGAGACCGACAAATATATGGAAATAATATTTGACATATATTTTATTCCAATCGTAACCAGTACATTTATTATTGATGCTAACAAAAGTGCGACGCTAAGAAATATAGTGGAAAACACAAACAACGGTTTTTAAACAGATAACTTACCTCTCTCTTATCCAGGTGTAGACTTTGATCTTACCTAACTAAAATTTGCAGTCCACGTACAAAAAGTAGGTATGGTTTTTAAGATACATTAAAACAGAACGTGGTTTGATTAAGAATCAGCGAAGGAACACGATCGCGATAAATAACATAATAGAGTAAATTGTAAAATAAAACAATTTCTTTAACACCTGATAATGAGTGCTTCAATACTGAACCGATTTGAGAAACGAGTAGTAGGTGAAGCATGAAAGTCTGGCAATACGAACAATCCATAAACTTTTAAAACTGACGAAAAGGCAATATTTTAGAAAAAAAACTGAGCAGGAAGGACATGTATTAGTGAGTCACTCGATAACCGCATTATCGAGTAACGTGGGTAACTCTGATCGTAAAATCGTTATCTTGATGGAGTAGACTATTTTTAATGACAGGTAATTCACATTTTTCTCTACAAAAGACGGAATACCAAGAAATGTTATCAGGCAGCAAAAGAAGACGTGATCAGTAAAGACAACTAAAAAGTAACTCGTGAACGATAACACGCTAGTCAAAAGTGTCCTTGAAAATAAAATGATTAGGATCGCTGAACAAAGAAGCGGCGGAACTGTGATCAAGCATCAGATCTATACGATGACGAGGCTGGAAGTGATGGCTGAATTGATTCGGTAATGAATGACATAAAAGAGTACAAATGGCGAACAATTACACAAGAAAAGTCTGAAAGCGAGGTAAAGATATCAGTAGTCATTTCTGTCATGGATGATTCCAACTGTAACATCTAGTACTTAAAAACCTGATTATTTTGATTGAAATCTAGTGGGTAGTCTCAACGGGAACATAATTTACCTGCAAGATATATATTGTCGTACAAATACGTGACGTAAGCTAACGTTAAACCACGACGACGGAAACTAGACCTAACTGAAGCTTTCTCTGAAACATCTCGCATGAAGCTGACTCTACCGGTAATCGTTCCGTAAAAAGCGTTTTGAAATGGGTTTCATTTGAGTGAAACAGGCAGAAGTTATACCATTCCGCAGCATTAGACATGTCTTTGTCGCAACACACCTCCCACATTTTTCTGAGAGGGTAAAAAAAACCAGATAAAATTGCCCTATCTTGGGTGGAAAATCCTTGGAAAAATACTTCCCAGGGCAATTCTTCGGTAGACGCCAAAGGAAACAGAAGGAAAAAATGCCAGTTAAAAAAAAGCAGTAAAAAATTATTATCAGTGAGACACTGTTTTTGATTGTCAAGGTGATTAAGATACTACAACACAACGCGCTAGAGGCGAGCGAGTTACTATTCTTGCGGGCCTTATGGCTTAGATTGATTTAACGTAACGAATACGTCGAGTACTCGATTAAAGTAATGGAAGGTTAGGGAGTTAGGACATTGACAATCTGGCGCTGGCTGTAGTAGCAATGCAGAAGCTTTTATGGAGAATTAAAACACAATACATGCTTGAGCACTGGACCCAGGACGTTCAGCATTGGTGTCCCAAGTGCTGTTTGGCCTGCTGGGCTCTCCACAAGACTGCAAGCTCCACTGTCTGCGGAACCCGGAATATTTGAAACGGCCGCCTGCAGCACATTATCTTCAATTTTTCGGTTAGTTAATAGAACCGCAATAGAGCATAAGCATCTGGTTGGTATGTACCTCACCCAGGTTTAATATGTGCAGACTTGGCTGTAAAAATTAGCAACACCAACACCTAGGTACTCCGTACTTCTATCCGTAATATAACTCATGTGAAGCTGAAATTCCTCAACCCAATATCTCGTGTAGATGAGCAACTATTCATGGCTTATACGCCATTCAAAGCAACTGTTTATCTAGCTGTCCTGCACTGTGCAAACATTTATAATCTGGCGCTGGCTATAGTAGCAATGCAGTAGCTTTTATGGAGAATTAAAATACAATACATACTTGAGCTTTATTAACAAGATATGTTGTCATTTTGAGAGCTCTAATAAGTCGATGTTATTTTTAAGGTTGCTTGATGAGCCAATTTTTTAAGATGCGTTTGTTGCATGTTCTACTTGGTCTTTGTCCATTATGATGCTGCAATGGTTCAGTTTTTGTGTATTTAATCATGCCCACCCTCATGTAATAAATATTATTGCTGGCTAAGTAAAATTAAGTAATTTGACTTACCTGGTCCACTTCCCCTTCTTCTTCCGTAGAATATTCTTCAAGTTCGTCACCGTCTTGGAAGTGAATTACTCTGCGCGGGGTTTTTGTTGATATGCCTAAAGCGAACAAGCGCGACGAGACCACAGTATATATTAGAAGAAAAAACAATATTCAATTCTGATGGGACTTAACTAAAATCTAGTAGGATCTATCGCTGCGTACTATAATAACTACAAGAAAGAGAAATAATTAAAACTATCCTTTCGAATGTTACTAAATATACTATTTCGTTTGCGCTTTTCGGTAAAGCTTCTTCTGATAACTTTTTGAGAAAATGACTTTAGATTTCGTTAACAGTTAATAGTATTTCTTGAGATTGTGTAGATCTTGTTGCGAAAGTCATTATTACCAAATAAGAGCAACCTTATTCTAGAAATTCTAGCCACATAATTAGCTATTTTTGCATTTTGCATTCAAAGGTGAACCCATTCTTAGCTACCTGTGATACATCACACCGGATATGAAATACCACAAATAATATTATTGACTAAACTCTTTTTAGTCAATAATTTTATTTGTATAATATTAGCAATGACCATGGTATACCAGGCTTTGTCATTTACAAAAATATTATGTGATCAATATCTACAATCATAAACGTATAATACTCAAATGTGTACATCATGCGTATATATATACTTCAAACAACATTGTCAGTGTCTTCAAATATCGCTGCGTCCGGTATTAAGCGTCGAGGAGGCAAAGAAGAAACCAGCGTTGATCGTTGTCAGAATTAAATGTTGAGCGAATGCCATTTGAAAACCGGTAACGATACGGCAAAACTCACGCACTAGATACGCATATTCAAATACAAACTAGAATTACAGCAATACTACTATCTCCTTTAATAAGTACGATCATTTTGTGGGATTAAAAGCTGATGTCGCTCACCTTTGTCTCAGATACTGATAGATGAACCCGAAAATTTTGTGCGCCTTCGAAATTATGACATTGCATGAGATCTTTCGTAAGGAGAGGGGTATCAGCATCCTGATACGTCAGTATGTTATTTCCAATTTTGTGCACTCTTATGACTCATCAGAAACGGTGCTTTGAGCCTATTTCGCTCGTTGAAAATCTCACAGGAAACGTAGTTCTTAAGATATCAATATCGAGCGAATACCGTGCTTCGCATCGTGTTAAAGACGTTATAGTCTGTTAAAGGCGATAGTGGTTTTCCAACTATGTTATAATATTATGGGCAAACTGGAATGCCTCGACAGGTGCCTTTCCTGGAGTGCTACTGGAAAGTGACCGACTAAAACAAGAAATGTATGCTGACTAAGATTATTTTTTTGCGCGATTCCTGTTGTGCGTTCGAACATTGGGTGTTCAACCACGGCGTCTATATTCCAGATGCCGTGGTTGAAATTCGCTCGTATATTTGCCAGCAAAAGCAAAATGTAAAAAGGCGCTTCAAAGTCCGTTAATTTTCGCAAATTTGATTTTTAGGAGCTGTGTGAAACATAGCCTTTAAGGAAACGAAGATTGCAAATAATGATTGTTTTTGGCTTTATACTATCTGCCAAGTAAGCCCTGAGCTTTAAATCTTATTATATTCAAGTAGTATTAGTAGGCCTTGTAGTTTTAAAAAGGTCAAGCGGCCCAAAGAATCAAATGTACTAATTTGAGTTCCACTGAATTGAGTAGAGCAGACAATGATTCGTAATTTCGTGGGGCTTTTTTTCACATTTACGAATAAAACAAAACATGCACTAGACTTCTTATATTGTCTTATTTGTTTTGTACGTTTTCCTAAAAGTGTCAAATAAAAGTCAATATTGATAAATCTTACACTTTCACGACTTCAAGAACAGAGCCTCATTATATTATTTCTTAAGTAGATTTATTCTAGTAGTTATCTATTTGTATAATGCAAATCTTCTCTATCTTTAATACTTCGTTGGGTCTTATCCATAAAGCACGCCCGCAACGGTAATCAAGAAGAAGATAGATGCTCTTTGAAGCAAAATCGTTTGGCCGTCGCATGGTTTTCCAATGAGAAAACTGTTAGCGTTATTACAAACGTCAATAGTCACCATTGCTAATTCATCTATTGTAATGTCTCCATCGCCTCCAAAAACAAATTTCTGCCGGCCTCACTTCTCTTGAAAAAGTGAAATTGCTAGAAATAAAGCTTAATGTGATATTCCATGAGCTATGGTAAAATCTACGTGACTAACAGATTATGTGGTCCATAGGATACCTACTTCAAATGCTAGTGGCTAGCATTCTACTCAGGTATCTGGTCGAAAAAAATGATCGGTCCGTCCAACAGTGTATTCTTTGTAAGCGTATTGCTCTGAGTCATGGGATATATATTGCGTAGACAATTAGAAACTAGCTATTTCTGGCTATTGTCGGTAATATTGAATACTCCTTTATTAATTGCAGTGAATATGAAACACATGTACGATTTTCGCAGAAATGTTAAAACTAGCACTACCATTCCCCACGACGTTGGATCCAACAAGAAAATGAAAACCAGGTAAAAAAAAACAATAGTCAGTATTTCGTACTGAAGCCTTTTACGATAACAATGGTAAAAAATTCTTACTGGTATTAACGCCATCCGAAAACTGAGATGATCTGCTAAGCTTTTTTAAGGCAAGCTCTTCGATTTTGACTAGAATAGCGCCCCAGAGAACCGATGAGATTCTAGCTTAATAACCATTATAAATCTAGCCATACAAAATATCTAATAAATTTTTCTCTATTATGGCTTCTATCGTAGGTTAGCATTCTTATTAAATGTTCTTCAACACGAAGAACTGTATCCTCAATAGTTCGTGCTTATTATATTTTTGTGGGTACACTCACTTGATTTGCCTATCATAAACCTGCCACGGTTTTTTATTTATTTAAAAGTAGAACTCGGGACTCACAATCGAAATCTCTGTTTGATTTTTAACTAAAACCTATAGATCTTTCTCTAACTTTCAAATTCATCATATCGCTCGCCGCGCAATTATGTCTGACCAGTGTAAATATCATTATACTCCCTACCACTAATATATTCGAGATACCACACCACAAATAAAAGCTCTTAGTATTTAACTATAAACTGTTTTATCTTTATGCTTCTGTTTAACATATGACTAAATGAGGGGTCCTTGAACGGTAAATTTGCCCAAAAGAAGTCTTCAATATGAACTTGCAGACTAAAGACTCTATTCTACGAAACAGCGCTTTATTATCAGTTCAACGCTTCATATGTACTTATAGCTAAAAGAAATGCAAATGATGTAAAACGTCCAAACCAATCCATAATTAAAAAACGGAGATATATTTCTAGCATTTTACTTTTCAGATGTAAGACCTTCCCAAAAAAAAGTCTATACTTGGCTTCGAAAAGCTACATACAGATTACATCGCTAAAATTCGCTACAAGAGAGTACGCCCTCTAAGCTGAGCAAGCATATTTCTGTCCATCGACTCATTCTAACATTTGAGACGATCTTACGTGGTGCGATGTCTCTACCAAACAATAAATAACTGTAAAAATTTTAAAACACACGCTAATATTCAACAATAAATCGATGACGTTCGCTGAGCAACTAATAAAATACTCAGTTATAATAACTACAAATGAGTCCGTTTCATGAATAGATTTCGTCAGCGCAGCACCCTTCAGTTGTAACTGATTGTAGAGAAATTCACGAAAGCCTTGACAATCAATGTTCTTTTTGATTATCGTGTTACGACTGAACCATGGTAAGCCATCCTGCCATCACTGGCCTCCGCCCAACTAACAATAACAACGGACGCCAGTATCATTTTCACCACTAAAGCACCATGAAAAATACATAATCATCACGGTAAACCCATTCATATATCAAGTGGAAATTTTACATACAAGCAAGTAGATTAACTACAGTGAGCACAACTGAGATGTTATTATGGAGCGAGGAAACCGTCATTTTGCCACTCCTCACAGCACACATTTTTTGACTCACAACGATATTTATATATATAATCTTTATTAGTTAAGTTTTAGAATCAGTCGACGATAAACAGCTTTAGAGTTTGTCATTTTCTAATCCAAATTGGTGGAAATACGTTCCATATGAAAATATCTACTTTTTGAATAGATTAGAAAATTTTATCTTTGATTAAGTACATCTCATAGCATTTGCACTTTAGCTCAAATACACAGTAAATTAAAAATAACATGCCATTATTAGCCTACCGGAAAACACACGTAATGGCTTCCTTGATTTCACAGAAATGTTCGTTCGATACTTATATCTTCTAAGTCCTATATTAGAACTTCAGCGTTAAAAATTTAACTTAAATACTTCGAGTATTACGTTTAGAATCGCCCACTTCTTTGAACTGAATCCTTAGCATTGGATTGAAAAAGTTGGTGTGATTCGTGTGACTACAACGCAAAACGGTAGTAAATATTAAGTCATACTCATTAGTTTGAAGACGGAGAGCCCTGGTGGCATTATCGCAAACTGTGATTATTCACGTGACTATAATTCAAAACATTAATATCACATTATGTCATGTTAGCTGTGTATAGTAATGACTTTTGTTTTGTTATAGTACCCACAAAGACGCTGCAGAAATTTCGCAGATTGTGAAATTAGAGTAGCTGATGCGGATCACACATTAGATTTGTTGCTAAATACAATCATTTTAAATTACATCTGCAAACTTTTTCAAGGATTTGCAGTTGTACTACAAACCTTTTTCAGCGTCTGCGGTATCCCCGCCATTGAATCCTAGTTGCACTTCTGGCGTATCAACAGCTTGACTAGACATTATTTATGTGCGTGGACCTAAATGGGCAAAGGTTTAGCGAATCGAATATAGCACCCGCTGCAAAAATTATTGTAGCTGCACGAATAGTTATTGAATTCGATAGAACTGGACCTGACTTCCCAGATCTCCCACGTTACTTCGTGTACACTTGAAGGATTTAGCGGCTGCTAAAACCAAAACAACCACAAAGCGAGAGACGCGCCTATATTCGGGAAAGGGAAAAGTGGAGAGAACCCACGTACCTGCACAAAGTTCTTTAACAGACCCTCTATATGAAGACGTTAAACACATCATGTAAGTCCCTGTGATGGTACAGTGGTACTGTGTTGCCTAATAAATTTAGGCACATATGAAATAGTCTACGTCCGAACCACACCGCATGTATATTTTTATTTCGTCAGGAAGCAATGTGCTATACGTTACTAGGCGCAGATTTCAAAACATTCAAGATCAACAGGTAACGAAAGACAAATATTTTTATTTGCGCTGAAAAGAGCGGCCGTTGGAAACAACGCTAAACAGCTATATGAGATTTTTTATGCGTAGCAGTACCAGTTAGTTATCTTAAATTTTTGAAATCACCTATTTTAGGGTTTTGTATCAAGAGGGCTCTTTTTAGTAGTCTAACCGTCTTGTCGAACTTAATTTCTCTAATGGCTGTATATATAATGGCATGGTAACCACACAAGTAGCTACTAACTTTGATAATAAAACCTTATCTTCCGTAATTCTTTACTTTTCCTTATCATTAAGATATATTGAATGTTTTTTAAGAGCTGAAATACCAACCAGCGTAAGAGAATCTTTCTTATTTTAAATTATCATAACAGTGCACTCAAATATATGGGCACTAGTTATTCAGACCACTCTACTCTACACGGCACGAAAAACTCCAAGCATTAAGGCATACATTAATTTCAATTCGAGCTATGCTCAGCAGTATGAACCAATTTTTAAAAGGTAGTGCCGGACACAAGACATATTAAAGACTTTACATAAAAGCAAGAATCAGTTAAATGGTGTATGAGCCAACCTGCCGTATAACTTATTCTTTATAGTAACACTGTTTCATATATATATGCTTGTATAATTACGAACGGAGAAAATACATAACGCAAATGCCGTCAAACGTTAGTCAAAACCTTAATGGGTTGGTAGCTATATCTGCAAGGATGTGTTACCTCTATTTCTTAAAAGGTTAAGTGCAAGTGCATTGACTTCATTGCCAAAATATTTGTGTTATACTGTGAAACTCTCACGCACCAAACTCTAGAGTTCATATCCTTAAGCTTTGGTTCAAAATTGATCCTAATGCTTCTTCGAATTTAAATATTTTCTAAAAAAGCTTTTTTGTATTCCATTGATTTGCTTTGTTTTTGAGTATGTATTTAGATAGCAAAAATTGAAGTGAATTGTAGAAAACCCTATGCTTGAAACTGGTTGTTTCCCACAAGGTTGCTTAAGTTTCCGAACGCCTTGCATAGTGTTTAGAAACCATAGGCTGATAAAATAATCTCTTCACTATATCGACACGATACTCTGTTGCTGTTACTGCAAAATGGCCTGTTAAACAACCGTGACATACTGAGGATCACTAGTGAATGCTGTTAGAAACGTTAGTTAACGATAAATAACGAAAAATAAAAAAAATCAATCATTTTATAAAAATAATAATATTTTATATACATTTTTTTGATTTATTATTTATTTTACCTTTAGTGCTACTAGAAAACTACCACGAATAGAATTGCAAAAGTCATAAATACGCCGGACGTCGGATCGTTTAAAAAAGTTATTTGATAAATATTAAGCAAGTGTCTCGCTACTTGTCCTAAGGTGACTCAACCACATGTTGCCACATGTTAGTCAAAGTATGTTCGATAAGAGAGAATTTAATGACAGCGGACATGATCACTAAATCATATCAACAGATCTATACAAGTAAGCATTTGTTCACAAATGACTGGTTCTCACGATATATTATCTGCATACAAGTAACTTCCAGCATACCAACTCTACTTCTACTATTTTCAAGCCTAGTTTTTACTTATTTTCTGTTTTTGCCTTGCTGTATAGCGCAAATATTTAGCTAAAATGTACGCTTAGGGGAAATGGTAAAGCGAAAATAATTTTTAGATATAATTCGGTAATGTACCTGAATTAATTTTTACTACTAACACATTCTATAGTGCCAAAAATATTGTGGTTTATTAAGCAACATTATAAATTACTTAATCTGAACGAGTTCGTCTCTAGCGCGTAATTTTCAGATAATTTTAGCTTTTACTTTATAGATGTATAACATCAACTTTACCCAATAAGACACCGAGGAGTTACCCTTTAGAAATATATTTTTTAATTTCTTCAATTGGTAGAGAAATTTATTGCTTTGATGAGCTTAAATGTATCCAGTGTTTTCTTGCTTATACCCAACACCTGGTTGGAATTCTCCCGGCTAGAGCACAGACTTTTACACTCGCAGAAGCACAGGTTGTAGTTCAACTACATTATAGTTTGCTACGATCATGCCTTGGAATCCGAATTTATATCCCTTTGCTTTAGTTAATCGCATTCTAGTTTAGGTGACAATAAATTATACAAACACATAACTTCAGACAATATTCTTCGATCAGACTATCGTTTCAGCTTATAGAACAACACACGTTCTTTTCACACGTAATTTCCACGAGCTATCCTAAATCAATCATAATCATGTTTCGTGCGCAGCATTCACGGATTAGCGGTTTACTAATAGTATTGGCTATTCTATTAATGTTTTTTAATTAAATTCTGTTAATGTTTTAACCTTTAAAATAAAGATTTTAATTAGCATTGTAAAAACTTTTGAAAGCTCAACTAAGGGATCGTCGAATTCCTTTCTTCAAGGGAAAATAATGGATGATTTGTTCAATACAATATAAGTGGAACATAACTAAGAAAGAACTAAAAATTAATCTTTGCCCCTCAGAAAAATAAATTTCGACCTTTATAAACCCGAAAATCTGTGACAACCAATACAACAATAATAATAATGGCACATTGATCCAGTGTTTTGGAGCCCTAGGAAGCCGGCACCCCACTCCTGCAGTAGTTTAGGATCGTTTTCGATAATTCCTTAATCTATGGAGAAATTTCTTGTGTCCTTATACAAACATATTCGTTCAATCTTCTCGTTCGGTCCGTAAGGAGAATATGTTTTTAACCAATTGAATTTGTAATTGTATTTTGTGTTAGATAGATAGATAGATAAAAAAAATTAAGAAACTAAAAATAATTTAGAATGTTGCTGTTTGGATATTTTTTAACGACTGTCAGAATAATCGTGTTCTACTTAAAGGTCGAGATTAGGAACATACGGAACTAGATGACAAAAGTAAAAGTTTTTTTTCTAAACCTAAAGCCTTAAATGTAGACTGATCTGTAAAAAAGTAAAATATACTACGAAAATCAATTAATGCTTAAGTAAACTCAAAAATGTCTCTATGTCGTTCTAGAGGTGTTTAATGTTACCTGCTGAAATAAATTTGGCTATATTTATTTTTACTTGTATTATTGACAAGCTTATAAACAGAAGACCTACTCAACAGGTGATAATACCGGCGGAAAGCACGGTGCAGGGTTTTTAGCAAAATATATCTTATACGGCTTGTTTTGAAAATAAAAGAATAATATCATACTTTTTAGCCAAGCAAATCGGTGTGATTCGTGACCGAGCAATAAAGACCACCCTAGCCCAATCAGTTAGAACAGGCGATCACCGAATAATAGGTTATTGTCAGAAATGAAACAGAAATATTACGGTAACAGAAATGAAAACTAGAGATCGAGATGCCGAGACTGAGATTATTATTACAAGGTCCATCATCGCGGTTAGCTTACAAGCAATCAAAGGAACACGCCTTCGTTGCCTCTGATCCTGCGTGTGGGTGGTTAAGTTGGATCGTACAGACTATCAGGAATCTCAAAGTACCGAACTCTTCCGAGTTTTTGCGTCTGGAACTGCCGTTAAGCACTGCTTCAGACGGTGGACTTTAAGTATGAAACAAAGTGTACCTACGTTTAGTTTTAAATTTGGACCACAACCCGATCCTTAAAATTAGTAGACAACACGTGACCATTGTACTATCATCAAAACACCTCAAATGTATATGTAATCCAAACATGACCAACTGGTACTAGCTTTGTTTGAACTGATCGCTGAGTATGAATTCCGTGTGTTTATAAAAAAGTGCACGGTTGCAAAGTCGTAACTCCCTCACCGTGGTCGGAAAGTGCACACATATACAGAGCGTGGCTGGGAGTGTTCAACCGACTTTTGTTCCTACCCATCCTGTCCAATAGTTCACCTACAAGGAACCACAACGAATAACTTTAATAATATATGTATACAATGATTTTATTACAATACAATGATTTATTGTTACTCCTTTCAACATTCCTACGTCAGACACAACTCCCAAATCGTTGCAAAAATTGGGGATATTATTACTCACTTGTCATATATGCTACAAACATGCAATATGCACACTACGCAGACGATCTCTAGACGGGCACAGCGACGGACCTAGAAAGCCGCATAAATTTGACACGGCCTATACCTAAGCGAGAGGCTGCGGCTAGCACTAAGGCGTGCGAAAGCAGTGCTTCTAATAACAAAAAGAAACATTTTGACAAAGTAATTGAAGTCGAAGGGAAAAGAATAGAAATTTCTTATAGTGCTAAGTATTTGAGGATTAAGCCAGGGGCACATAAAAGGACCATAGGGAATACAAAGTGTATAAAAAGCGTGGTAGTCGAAGTCATGAAACTATCAGAAAACATAGCAAAAATTATTTCAATTCCAATGAAAAAATAAGAATAAGGTTGTTGATGCGTTGAAAGCAATGTCAATCGTGTTGTTTAAAGGTTCATTCAATACCAAGCCGGATCTAACCTAAAATTTCAACGACTCAATGACGAAGTATCTAACAGGCGTTTTCTCAACAACTGCCACAAGGAAAAACTTCTTTAGCGATAGCGCTCCTCCCATTTAACCTGAAATTAGCCCCGATACCGGCTTACGGGGTAAATATGATTTGGATGGAGCTTGCCGTCAAAGATCCCAAATTGCCTCTGTCTGAAAATATACTTTACTCTTTTGCTTATCG